GGTGTTTATTTGTTTTTAGACACTGAGATCATTCTATAGGCTAAGGACTGGTCCAGACCGGTCCAGACCGGTCCTCAATTTAGGACCGAAAACTGGCTGGACTGGTCCAAAAGACCGGTCCGGACCATGGTCCTTGTAGGACCGTAACATCCCTACAGAAAATTGGCCATCAAGAAAAAATTTTTCCAAAATTTCTTTATTTGAAATAGAAAGGGCAGCCTCTTGGATTTTCATTTGATCTTTTAATGCGGCAACTTCAGAACGAATATTATCATTTTCTTGAGTAAGATCATTATTTTTCTGAATAACGGAAGAAAGTTGCAATGTCAAGTCGGCAATTCGATATTCCAAAAAGGGAATTCGAAGAGGGTTCGGTTGACGTTCTGTGGATTCAGAAAGTCCGATACGAAAATTGTGAATGCGGTTATTAAAGGAATTGTTACCAGAAGACTTAGAAGTCCTTGACTGTCGAGACATGGTTACGATCGATAAATTCAACCAATCAAATTGTACTCCGCAGTTGAGGCACGGGATTAGCTTATAAGCGAAATAAATACGTGTGGGTGGTGGTCTTAGATGGGTAAGTGAATGGAAAAGCAGTTCAATTTATAATTAAACAATAAAAAATACCCAAAAAACTGCGTAGAGCATATCACCCTAGCACTTGTAAAAAATCTTATATTAAAAACATCATAAAATTAAATAAAAACACGCAATCAACTTGGTCGTGTTCGTTCTTTCGGAGCCACCTGCCATATTTATCAAAAACTAGTTCACAAAAACCGATAATTGGACCGAAAAAGGAAAAATGATGTCCAAAGTAACGCACGGTAAAATATCGGTAATGCCGAGATAACGATGGTCACATGTTGTGGATCATTATATGGCCAATCGGATTTATCAATAAAAATGAAAAACTGAGCGATAGCCATCAGACCAAATTCGAAAATTTTTTTTATTTATTTGAATTCTAAAATTTGCAGAATTCAAATAAAAAATTTTCATCAAGGTTGGTTAGGTGTTTGTCGAGATAACTTCGCTCAAATTTTTAAAAAATTTGGTGCAGCTTCATTTTGATAAATTTTTTTCTAAAACTTCCGAACTTCGTGCGAAAATATCCCGACAACCAACTTGACCAAATTCGATAAAAAATTTTTTATTTAAATTTTACAGATGTTTAGAATTAAATAAAACTTTCATCGAATTTGGTTAGGTGGTTGTCGAGATATCTTCTCTCATTTAAAAAAAAAATCTGGCGCAGCTTTATTTTGATAGAAATTGATTTTTTCCTAAAACTTCTCAACAACATCCTGACCAAATTCGATATTTATATTTAAATTTTACAGATCCGTAGGATTCGAATTAAAAAATTTTCATCGAATTTGGTCAGGTGGTCTGAATATGTTAGATAAGATGTTCTTTAAAAAAAAGCAAAAAATAAACAGATTAAAAACAATTGTAAATAATTACAAAATAAATACTTTGTTATAATGATATATATATTTTTAATACATACCGATAGTATTCTGAATGATACGACAATGTCAACACATTTAAAATTAATAAATTTTCACTTGAATGCATGTCCAGTATATTTGGTGTGTTTTGTGGCAATTGTTCTTGCCAACCACAGATCTTAACAAAAAATATTAATAAGGTTCCGAATATAAGATCTTTATAATGAATTCATTACACGAGCAAGCGTTAATAGTAATAATAATAAAAAAACAAGAATTTATTTACTGGTTCAAAAAAAAATATAACACAAGATATAATTTAAGATTTTATTAATATTTGTCGAAGCTGTATTATGAATTATATCATTTTTTGTAACGAAAAGAATTTTTTCATTAAAAGGTTCATCCAAATTTGATAAAAATGGTTATCCAAAAATTTTAAAAATTTTCAACACACTCATAGCTTCGAAAGTTCGACTCACAGAAGACTTGCTAACACCCGAACTACTAAGTCTCCAAATATTTTTTCAACAATTTTCAATGAATATGTTCTGAAAATGCCATTTAGCAAAGATAAAAATAGTGATATCAATATACACACTGTATATAACTATCATACCATCGAAATAACAGTATCATTTACACATCGTCGCGATTATTGCCGAAATCAAACCTTTATCGAATCGGCTAAATAATAATTCGGTTAATTTTTATTAGATGTCCCAAAATTTGCTGTAATATCTGAACAACCGCCCGATTGAAGTCACATAATTGAAATGAAACAGAATTGCTGGTTTACCCGATTTATATAATGTTGTTATAGGCGAAATTGATGGATCATAATTATCTTTCTCGCGTAACTTTATGATAATCGTTATCGTTTTGAAAGAGGATAATTTGGGTGTCCAAGGCACATTCGTCTCTAAAGGATAGTAAATATATAAAGATAAGAAAGTTGATGATTACATTATATAATTCCAATTTAAAGCTTTTATATATAAAATGAACATCGAAGAAATCATGAAGATGAATTTGATCTGTTTTTACAGCAATTGGTTGATGGCATACGAAAATTTGACGGCGGTTCAATGGTGTCACTGTTGGAAGAGCAATTCATGATAGCCACCTCGGTGAGTCCGGTTCAGCATCGACAGTATCACTAAATGAATATCTCATAATGTTCCAGTTATATTTTAACTTCTATGATACTTAATTCATTACTCAATATACTTTAGATTCTCAAAGTTCCGCTACAATCTCTTTCTCTATCTGATACTTCAATAAACGATATACAAATATGAAATTTTATTACAATGATAATATAAAGAAATTATTCCTTAGATGAAATCAGTAAAACTCTAATATGAAAAAGCATCATTGAAAATTTTATTATAGTTTAAACACTGACAACATTAAAAGTGCCATTTTGCATTATGAATTTCAGCTTTCCTACAATTCAATTTGTCAATCGGTTAATCATAATTCACTTCGAGATGGTACCAAGGCATCAATTCCTGCGTTGTTGAAGAAATGGATCTGTTTTATATATGACAATTTTATTATAATTAGATCCAATATTATTAGCAGTATCATTATTTTCGGTTATTATTGTCAAGACAGTATTATTTCTTTTTAATAAATTTTTTCCATATACTATTTTTTCCAATTAGAACTTCACCCCTTACTTAGGTGGGAGATTTCAAACGACGAGCCACCGTTCAAATAGTTTACATCAAAAGAAATAGTTGCTATTTATATATTTCAAGGGAATAGAGAGAAAATATTCCATCACAATGTATTGAACTTTACGAGAAATGTTAGAACCGATAGTTAAAGGACAATGTGCATTTTTGACTTTAAAGCATCATTCGGTTCTGACAAATTGGATAAAACAACCTCTAATTTTAATATAAGAATGCCTACATTTTTAAGACGCCTTTTATTAAAAATAACAGTATGAACATGTAAATTATAAAGGTAATCATAGTATAACTTTAAAAAAAAACAAACCTTTGATGCATATATGATAAAATCTTAATCGATATGTTACGAAAAATCAATTGATAAAATCTTACATAAATCATAAAAAATAAAATAAAAAATAAAATAAATAATAATAATAATAAATAAAAACAATCAATACTGGTCATTTGCAGAAAATTGACCATTAAGAGAAAATTCTCCAATAAAATCTTTATTTGAAATGACGACCTGTTGAATCTCCACTTGTACTTGTAATGCGACAGCTTGAGAACGAAGATTACTATTTTCTTGGATAAGGAAAGAAAGCTGAGATCGGAAGTTATTATTTTCCTGAACAACGAGAGAATGTTGCAATTTCAACTCAGCAAATTGATATTCCAAAAAGGCAATCTGAAGAGGGTTCGGCTGATGTTCTGTGGGTTCAGAAGGCCCAATACGAAAATTGTGGGTGCCAGGTGCAGATGGGTTATTGAAGGAAATGTTACTTGAAGACTTAGAAGCCCTTTACTGTCGTTGAGCCATAGTTACAATCGATCGATTTAGCCAATCTGATTACTCCGCAGTTGAAACACGGGATCAATTTAGAAATGTGAGTGGATCGTGCGATTGGTAATGGTTGCTTACGAGGAAACTGGTTCAATTTATTATAAAATAAGAAAAACAGCACAGAGCATAACACCTTGGCGCTGAAAGGAAAAATGGTATAAAAAACTATAATTTAAATAACAACAAGTTCAGTAATTTCTAAAACTAAGGTCTTTATATAACGAAAATTTTGTTTGGGAAGTAAAAACCTAATGCTAAGGGTCTTTATATAATGAAAATTTTGGTTAGGAAGTAAAGACGCGGAAGGTAAGGCGTATTTATTTTTCTTGATACATAAATAGTGAAGCGTGCATTTAATATTATGCATGAAATAGACATAATTAGTTTGTTTTTTGAAATTTTATGTGACTTGAAATGTCTATACTTCCGAAGATCTTAGTCTCGTAATGCGAAAAAGGTACTTATTGCGAGAAATTTATGCATGAAATAGACAGTTAGTTTGTTTTTTATTTTTATACTAAAAAATATAGTTTAAATGAAATTTTATGTGACTTGAAACGTCTATACTTCCGAGATCTTAGTCTCGTAATGCGTGTACAATTGCACTTGATTTTGGTAATTAATACTTGATTTGGTAATGAGTTTTTTTTTTTTTTTTTTTGACGATTATTTCTAAAGTAAAAACACCGGAAATACCGGAGTTTGACTCCAGAAATAGTGCTCAGCACAGCAAAACTACCGTTCCTGATAGATCGTCGGTACTGTTCTTGATGGGACGAAAAAAAAATCGATTTACATACCGTTTCTGATTGGGTACTAAGCTACTATCGGGATATAAGGCTATTGCATAAGGCTATTGCATAAGAATTTGGCAGTCCACTATTACTGCCCAACCAGATTATAAGAGCAACGCATAACAAAAAATTCAAAAAAAAACGGAAATTAGTATTTAATCATTTACAGCTGTTTTCATAAGTTCTGGGACAACTGATAAAAATTATTTCGGCCGAATTCGATAAGTTTTTGAATTTGGTGTTATCGGAATTTGATTTCGGTGAATTCAAAAACTTATCGAACTTATCGAATTCGGCTGATCAATTTTTATCAGTTGTCCCAGAATTTATGAAAACAGC